TTTTTATTTTTTTTTTCGCTGTACTTTCTTCTTTTCCTTCTTCTTTTCTACCGAAAGAAGATTGGACTCGATTAAAATCTGCCATAAATCAACGTGTTCTCTTCTAAAACTTTTCTAGATTCATGCTCGAAAAACTGGCTTTCGTAAAATGTCACAGAAAAGTCTCGACTGTCTGCGCTCTCTTTTTTTTCTCTAATCGACTCCTCGATGAAAGATATAATCTTTACCGCAGCATCCCACGTCAAAAAAAAAAACGTATAAATTCAAAACATTTATTTAGAATCTATCTATCTCAATTAATGCAGTAAGTCCAATGGTATATAGAAAAGTACTTTACAAATAACATTTTTTTAACATTTTTCCTAACAAACCATCATTTAAAAAAAGTTCCATTAAAATTTCTAGAAAGTTTAATTTTATAGGAGCTTCCATGAAGATTTCTTGAAGGTTGTAGAAGGTTTCATGCTTAGATTCTATAAAGTTTCATCATTTTCGAAGCTTCGATGAATTTTCTAGACATGTCTATGATGATTCCCGATAGGTTCTAGAAGATTTCATGCAAAGATTTTAGAAAGTTTCTAGAATGTTCGATAAAGTTTCTAAAATTTCTAAAATGTTTTTACTTCTTTTTTAGATAAATTTTAGCTACATTTCTACACTGAGAAAAATATGCTATTGAATCAACAACATTTCTGCCAAAGGCATAAAAGTTATTGATTAAAAAGTATATGCTATAGAATTTGTAAAATGTTACACCGTCCGACAAAATTCAACTTTTTTTTTGACCCACAAAAAATCCCACATTTTTGGAAACTAGGACCCAAAAAAAATACCCGTATCTGGCCGTTTTGCTAGATCAAGTCGTTTGTGGTTTTTAGGGGTGAAAATAGTCCCTAAATGAAAAGTGACAAGATATCTTTTAAAAATTATTAATATTTTATAAAACTTGGTATCTGGGGGTTATCGGGGTCGCTGATTATTAATCTAATGTTAGATTTTCAAAATGGCGGTCAAAATTTTAAAAAGTTTTCAAATTTTTTTAAACCTTGGTATCTATGGGTTTTTTGGGTCGCTGATGACGAATTTGATGTTAAATTTTTAAAATTCAAAATGGCAGATTAATAATCAGTGACTCCGAAAACCCCCAGATACCAAGTTTTATAAAATATTAATAATTTTTAAAAGATATCTTGTCACTTTTCATTTAGGAGTTGTTTTCAATCATTTTTATGCCTTTGCCAGAAATTCTGTTTAATTCAATAGCATATTTTTTTCAGTGTATAATATTTCTAAAGAGTTGCATAGTATTTACAATCATCTGTAGAGAGAAGGGAATGATATAAAGGTGCCTCATTTATTATATAATTATATTATTTTATAATATATTATATATTTAGAAAAGCAGGCTGAGATTACGTTAGAAATTGTCTCTGTAGAAACAGGTATAATATGTTGAGCTAAAATTATCGGTATTCCACGAAACCTACACACATTGATGGCAGAGTAGTATCCTTCGGTACATTCAGTGTCAGATCTCTGTTGATTAGAGCACGTATTTCACTTCATATGCGAAGTCAGCCCCAGGTTGTTGGTTGTACCCAACACACAGTATCTCTCTATGACATTCTATAGTGGTTGTAGATCTGGAAACACGTAGGCATCAAGTTATCTCAATGCTAATGGAAAGCTTTCCACTCTCTTACTAAAGAGAGAGAGAGAGAGAGAGAGAGAGAGAGTCCCTTTCGTGAAAGGGCTTTCCAATGAACAGGAATTTACTTGTGGCATAATCGGTTTTGCATGTAACCCACGAAAATGTATAATTTACGTTATCATTCTGGACATTTCATTTATATATATAGTAATATGTTAGTACTATCACATTTTATGCGCGGCATATAAATGAAGACGTGACATAACAAATTAAACACTTTTCCTGCATGAAATGAGAGACCCTCTGGTATAATAGAGAAATTGCCGCTGGAAAATATTTAAAAGGCACTGTCTGCTGAATAAATTAGTCTGCATAAGTTAAATCCGAGAAGGTGTCCAGTTTGTTTAATTAATAGTAGTTTTGGTTATTGCTATTAATTTTGATTAATAGAAGTTTTAAATAATGTAAAACAATACCATTTTTTAAGAACGAAAAGAATTTTTTCCAGTTGTGATATTTGTGTTGGTTGAATTTTATTATTTGTTTGAATAGACTTTACATATATATAGTTTGATTATTATCAGTGCTTCGAATGTAATGAATTTCAAAAAGTAAACACTGAGTAAAATGTTTGGTATCATCAAGAAAAATTTGATGGTCGCAAGTAAATTCTTTGTTTCGTACGGTAGAATCAAAATCATTTAGTTGACATTACCAAATTGTTTTTGTTGAATTGCTTTTGTTTGGTATACCAAATTTTTTAGTTCGTGCAACAAAATAATTTGATTCAGCTCATAGAAAATTAAAAGGTAATAAAATAAGCTGCAACGCTTATTATTTTAATCCAATTTTGCTTATTTTAATACCAAAATGGATTAAAATAAGCAAAATTGGATTAACCCCTTCGCAGTCTAGTAGAAAAATCGTTTGTAGGCCCAAAACGGTCAAAAAAAAGTTTCAAAAAAAATATCATATCATCGTATTAAAAGTTTTTGGGGTCGCTGAATTCAAATTTAAGGTCATATTTAAAAAATTCAAAATGGCGGACCCAAAATTGCCACCCAATACAGCAGAAAAAATTTAAAATTGACTCGATTCGTTCAAAATTCGGTACTTGGGGTTTTTTTGGGTAGCTGAATTCAAATCTGACCTCAAATTTTGATTCAGCGACCCCAAAAACCCCCGAGTACCGAATATTGAACGAATCGAATCAATTTTAAATTTTTTTCGCCATATTGGATCCGTCATTTTGAATATTTTAAATCAGTTTAGTATTTTCTTTCTAATGTGGACATATATGTATTCTAAAAAGTGCTTATCAAAATTATTTTCTAATCAATGGATAATTTTTTTTCTCATGTCGTATTAATAGAAATATAAAGCTTATATTTAATTTATAATTCATTAAATACATTTTTAAAAAAATTATTTCTTCAAAAGAAAATTGTGCAAATATGGAAAATTCTTTTAAGAAAGTTGTAACTAAAATTACATTTCACGTCTCAAATATAAGATAATTAGTTAAATTGTAATCATAAACACCAAAATGTGAAATAGTAAATGCTCATTGCTGCATTGCAGTCTAGAGGGAACTATATGAAGTTTCAGTTACAACAGCCAGTGGAGACATCCAGTGAGTAACTAAATTCAGAACAGTCAAGTACTTTAGTCCCTTTAATATTCCAAGAGCGTGCGCTAAAGGTGAAGAAACTCCCGAGCCTCTGTTGCATTGGAATGAGTTCTTGTATAGTTACAAAATTCAAGCAACTGCTGCAACTATATATATGTATGTGGCATTAACTAATAATATAAGTGAATGAACAAATGAAAAAAGATAATGCATCATATATATATATATAGCGATGCCATTATTGCCACAACAACGTGACTTGGTTTGCTTTAACAATTTTTAAAACTAGATTTAACATTGAATTTATGCCACTTGTGTGAGACTGTTAAAAATCAAGGTTTTAACTTAACATTGTTCTTCTATTTTCCTTCTTTGGACTCAATTATGGAGAAAATTATACCTCGTCAAAGTTTACGGCTTTAGTTTTAACAAAAACTGAAAACTAAGTTTATGTGTTTAATTTCGTGGAAAACAAACTTTTAACGTTATAATTATGACCATTTTTTCCTTAACGCAGAGAGGGGGGGATAAAGTGACGTTTATCTAGTTTTGAACAAGTTTGATAAAGTTTTTTGCTCTTTTCCCTTTTTTTTTTTTTTTGAATGCTTCCATCAAAATTTTGAAATATCGTGCAAGTTTTATTTCAGAACTGTCTTTGAATTTCAAGAAAGTATAAAGACTTTTATATTGTTGGGGGAACGACTTATATAAGCTTTTGCAGGATTTTATCAAGTTCTGCAAAATTCAAGGGAGAGCTAAAAGTTTTTATCGCAAGATTTATTTTGTTAGATTTACATTGAATTGCGAAAGAGGATAGAACACAGGAGAGAACCTTTTTTCTGTGTACTCGGAAAACAATTTTCTAGAATAAAAAAAGAAAACATATATAATTTTGCATCAAATTCTAAAGCTTGCGTGCTTAAAAATACTGGGTAAACTTTTTAAACAGATTTTCTTCCTTTACTTTTTCATGGATATAAAGAAATTTCTTGTATATCAAAACAAAACCGAAAATTTTCACTTTATATTTGAGAATAATTTTTATGATTTTTTTTAACATGGTTTTAAAATAGAAAAAATCTAATTCAATGAGTGATGATTAATAGTTTTTTACTGTATGTAATTAATTGATTAGATATTTTAAAAAATACGAAAATTAGAGAAATATAAATAAGATTCCTTTTTCTGCCTTAGATTTAGATATTATTTTTACTATATATATATATATATATATATATTAAGGTTGTCAGACAGGTCAATGAAACATGACTCTTAAGTTTAATTCATTTATCAAAGCATCTAGAAAATTGAAAAGCAACCTAGGAATAATTGATTATCTTAGGAAAAATGGAATAACGAAGCACATTGCTTTTGTGATACAATTGAGAGTATCTAAATCTTTCTTTTGCATTAAATAAAGATACCTCGAAAAAGTACAAGTTTGGGTAGTTTTTTTACTGAAGGTGAAGTATATGTATAATATTGGATTCTGACATGGATACAGAGACAGGAGTGAAACGGATCGATATACCTTGTGGGAACATTCATAATAGACAGGATAACGAAAGAAGGGAGATATAACCAGCAAACTGCAAACTTTAAGTGGTTCACGTAAAGTCGTATTTTCCTTTCATATATATATATATATAGTCTCGAAAGTTTTCGCAACGACTTCACTCTGAAACCAGAATCGTAATCTTTTCTTTTCGTTTTTTTCAGCGCGGATGGAAACTACGAGGTGACCATAATGACGAAGGCTATCTTACATCATACTGGCAAAGTGGTATGGAAGCCCCCGGCGATCTACAAGTCATTTTGCGAGATCGACGTGGAATACTTCCCCTTCGATGAGCAGACTTGCTTTATGAAATTTGGCTCGTGGACGTACGATGGGTACACGGTAAGTAGATATAGTAATTTCAACTAAGAAGTTCCGTCGACAATTTCCATCCGACTTTCCACAAACTTAACCACTATAAACTATTTCGATTCCCTTCAGAAATGTAGTTTCATCATTCTTACAATTTCATTATGAAATAATTAGATAATTTATATTATATATTGCAATATCTTTTATCTATATTTTGAAAATATTCACTAAAATTATAGACACATTATCATCTTAGGCGGAAAAATTATTTATGTAATTTATTTTAAAATTATTCATACCCAGATAGCACGTAAGCTTGCAGAAACCTTGCGGCAAGCTTCAAGTGTCCCACTTGACCCAAGCTTACATTACTCAGTAAGCTTACAGCAAGGTTGATGCAAGATTGCTAAACAGCCTTACTTTGAACCTAAAATAATTTTTTTTAATGTTTCGTCTAATTTATGTACCTTACACTGCAATCTTTCGGTAAGCTTACCATGAAAGCTTGGGTCAGGTGGGACATTTGAAGCTTGCGGCAAGTTTGCCGTGCAAGGTTGACAATATTGCACGGCAAGCCTGCCGCAAGATTGCTGCAAGCTTACGTGCCATCTGGTGAGATTTTTTGGACTATTACCAGTAGGTCACGTCCACCAATTAGAATCGCTTATTACTATAACCTTAGTGGCAAAAAATGGAACTACTACGAGTAGATCAAAAACATAAACCACGCCCCCAAGAGAGATTCCAATATATAGTTTTTTCTTTATTATTTTAAGAAAAAATTTTCACATTTGCCCCAACAAAGATGACGTTTATAAATGAAGAGAGAAACTACAAAACGGTTTTATTATTTAAATTTTATGTTTATTGCCACATTAAAATTTAGTAAAATTTTGCATATTTTCTCAAAATTTAAAAAGAAGCTCAATAATGCATAAATTTTTAACAACTTTTGCACAGTTTTTAAATATACAAAATAATTATTCAAAAGTTATGCATAATTTTTTCCAGCTTTGGTTCTATTTAAGTATTATTATGAGTAAGCATATTTTGGAATGTTTATTAATCATTTCATATATGAGAATTTGAAAAATTTTTGTAGCCCCTATTCGAAGTTAATTGAAGATGACTTTTCAAAAAATCTTCAGTGTCAGTAGAAAACTTTAGTTTCAGTCAGATGAAAGGTTTTAAATTCCTGTAATTTTTGTAAAAGTTAATTTCAGCCGGAAAATCGTTTTAAATTCTTGTTATTTGAATATTTAAAGTAAAAGTGATTCAGGCAGAAATTAAATTTAAATTCTTATCATTTTTAGGGCTCGAAGTGTACTATTGATTTTATCGACAAATTTTTTCTCATGCATTTTAGGTTATGTTTATAAGCTGTCACTTTTTAATTATCGAATTGCACATTGTCTTTGATTTTCTGTTATTTTCATTTGCAAATTAAATAATGAAATGGTCTCCGCAATTGTACTATTACCAAAATATCTGAAAAAAATTCGTTTAATTTTGAGTCGATTCAATTCGGCCATGATTGATATAAATTGATTAAACTTTTTGCATCAAAAAATGAGACCGTTTAGTGTATCATTTCTAAAAATGATACACAAAACGATCTCTTTTTGATATAACTTATGTGCATCAAAACGTTGCAATAGAAAAAGAGACAACCAAGTTTACTGTGAGTGAAAGATAGTTTCAATTAGATCAAATGTTTTAAATTCCTTAGGCAGACATGGTTTTTCCCAATTCTTCTAATTTCGGTATCAGGGGGAAAAAGTTAATTTAAGTCAGAGAGAAAATTTTAAATTCTTGAAAATATAATAGTAGTATAAGTAAGTTACAGTCAGACATAGCTTAATTTTATTCTTATCGTAATGTTAGTTTTAGCAGTAAAAGTCAGTTTTAGTCAGATAACAAGTTTTAAATTCCTGTCATTTTAGTATACATTCTTTATGAATTTTAACTTATATTCAAATTTAGAAAGTATTTAAATTGTAATTTTATCAACAGCAGTAAAAGACTAAACATTTTAAATTTTTATTATATTTGTGTCTGTAATAGTTGACAGTTTCACAGAAAATTATAATGTATTAAAATAAGCTGCAACGCTTATTATTTTAATCTAATTTTGCTTATTTTAATACCAAAATGGATTAAAATAATAAGCGGTGCAGCTTATTTTAATGCATTTTAATTTTCTGTGTTAAAAAAGACAACATTTTTTGAGTTCTTCTTATTTTTTATATCAGTAATAAAAAGCAGTATTAGTCAGAAAAATTTCTTGTTTTCCTTACAATTTTAAAATCAATATTATATACAAGTGAATAAAAATACGAAAACTATAATTATCGAGATACTTAGTTTGGATACGTTCAAACTTTGCGAATTTAAGAGAGTTTTAAGAGAAACTTCTCAAATTTACGAGCATGAAAAAGATGAACTATTCAAATTTAAGGAGGTTTTAATTTATAGGGTTTAGTAGTAAAAAGTTTTTGCCTATGTGCGGCATAAAAGTTGAGAGTCATGATAAAAGTGTTATTAACAGTATGCAACTGTTAGGTCACGTGATCGCCGCAATATTAATATATCAGTTGAATTTCTCGTAAAAAATACCCCATGCAGAAATGGGATACTGACCATATTTCCCCATCTCTAATTATGACCATTTCCAAAAAAACTGACTATGTGTTCGACAAGATTGTTATACGCTGTTCCCGTCCAAAACTCTATTTATGGGAAAACTTTTCTGGGCCTATTTTGTGAAATTATTTTTATTGTAAATAAATGACAGTTTTTACAAATTTTTATTTAATATTCTATTTAAGATTATTACATAATATATAGTTTATAAAACAGTCGAGAATAATTTTGATAACACTTGCACGCATGGGGGATCGAACTCAGGACCCTTGGGACGCGAGCTGAGTACTCTAATAATACTTATATTTTACATCTAATAATAATTTATAATCAAAGTTCAAATTGTTGATTGTTTCGCTATATTCCTACAATAAAATATTATTTAAACACTTGTATATAATGATTCCCTTTAAATTACCTTTTTTTCACTAAAAGTAATTTTAAAAACTTAGCTTTTACAGTTTTTAAAAAATTGTTAAAATAGTAATTTAAAAATTTCTTTTAATTTTTAATAACTTCTAACGAATGCTTATGTTAAAAATTTATTTTATTTGCATTTTTTTTTTAACAAGAAATACTATTAAGGTCCTGACTGGAGCCCCATTTTCAATACGGCAAAATGGGAATATTTCTGCAGGGGACTATTATAAACAGATTAAGCTGAGAATTTTGTGGAGAACTCTAAAAATATATTGACAATGGTGTTGAATTATTTTTATTAAAAAATATTATAGTAAATTCATATAGAAAATGTGAATTGAGAAGAAACATTTTTTGAGAAATCCATCGAAAAATTAAACATTACGACGATCACGTGATCTAACAATCATGCACTGTGAAAAAAAATGATATTTTTCTTTTTTTCTTTACTTGACAATTTTTGCTGCTGTCAGGGAAATGAAGGAAGATGGATTGATTTTTTTTTGTTCATAACCAACAATCATAAAAATTGAAAGGATATACAGAAATATAATCAAGTGATTGTATTGTGGTTGTGTCTTTTTTTTTTAATGTGCATTGTTTTCTTTTATCTCTAATGGTTTTTTCACTTGGCCAGATTTATTTGTGGTTTGTAAAATCCTGCTGTTTGAGAGTCTAACTTTAAAAATAAATCTTTCGCGAGAATGTGTCACTGCTGTCAGGAACACTACATAACCCGCCTACATGCATACACTCTCATGTCACCAATTTTTACTTGATATACTTGAATGTATTGAATTCTATTTCGTATTTGACAGGGAGAATTTTTCTACATAGATTGAATTTTGAGTAAAAAATTTTTTATTCAAAAAAAAATTATTGAAATAAGGTAACAACAGTTTTCAAAGACACAAGTATATATGTATATATATTTAATATCTATATCGAAAAATGTGTCGATATTTGTTATGAATATTATTAAAGTACAAAGTAAGTTCATAAAATAGTGACAAATGAACTTTGAATGAGTTATTATATCGTGAAACACATTCAATTAGAGAATTATTAATTGATTCAGTTGTAAACGCGTAAAGATTGTTGCTGTTTATTTGATCGTAAATTGTTGAAATTGTAGTCTAAAGTCAATATTCAAATAACAGAGATTATAATCATACCTTCAAGTTTGTGCGAACATATGAGATTATTTACTGCTAAAGTTATGAATACTGAAACTCAGTAGCCGCTCCAAGCTTATAACTTAGATTTGATATATACGTATACACACCTGAAGTAATTTTCATTTTATTCATTAGTATAATTACTCCATTTGAAATTAATGCGCACAATTTTATTTATCTTTCTTTTTTTTTGTCTACAAAGCAATAAAAAAGTAGTTTAATATAGGAACAATTTGTTCTATTTGAAATAAATCTAGTTTTATTGCTCTTGAAACTTTTAGATTCTTTTTCTCGAAATTTCTTCACGTTCTTCCTATTTTCGTTTTTTTTTTTTTTTTTTTTTTTTTATTTTATTAATTTCTTCAAGAATGATGTATGAATTGCTGAGTTTTGTAATATTGCTGAGAGGAAATCTTGTTTTTAATATTCGACAAGTGTTCTTCAAAAATTGAACATATTTGAGGGAACTAAATCATTTTTCTTATCGTTCGTGCAATGTGAAAATGCCTTATGTATTAAAATTAATGATCATGTCAGCAAAAAAAAAAAAATTCATTCAACACACCATCCTTACCAAGTCCATGGCAGGAACTACTTATTGATTTTTTGGACGTAGCAAGCACCATAAATTCTCGACTCTCTAGTAGTGTGACGCACCCTAAACTCTCCTCCAAGCACAGTGAACGTTTCGCAGACGATAACACAATGATGTGAAACCTTATTTTATAGTGTAGCACTTATAATTTCTTTGATAAAGAGGGTAAACCACGCTATCGATAATATTTACCA